ATTAACAAAATATTATTGGGTATCTATTTCTTATGATTTGCATATCTTTGGGTTTATATTGATTTCTTATAAGGCGCCCGGATTTTTACCTCATAAGTTTCTGTTTTTTAAAAGTTGACTAAAAGCGCTACTATCGTTAAGTCAAGAAGTTTTCTGGTATAATAGATTACATACGGTATACTTTGTAGCCTTAGCGAGCATATGACCTATTTTGTAGTCAGTGAGCAGCTCTGTTAAAGCTAGGTTTCCGATAGCCAGTTGAACATTCTTATATTGCTGAAGCACTTCGAAAATACTCTATAAATCGTATTATGAGACCGGTGACCTTCTCAAACTTGACAATAGCGCAATAAGATAAATTTCTTTTGTAATTTCGTATATATAACATAGAACTTCCTTACCTCTAGAAAGTAGTGCTTTTTCGAGATAATTAGATTATCGAATGTATAATTTCTGCTTTCCTAAAGTATGTACAAATATATTCAAATATTTAGTTCTACTTATCTATATTTTATAAAGCAACTCAAACTAAAAGCAGAAATGCGACTGTAGAGGAAACGCCAATTCTCTTGCCAACTGCAGAAGGTAACTCACACAGCTAAAGCCTTTAGGTTGCGAGATATAAGAACTTATTAAGCAAATGCCGCTACCATTGTTTGACAAATTGATTTCCAAAACGCAGCAATACTTTGAAATTGCAAAGTTTTGCACACGGCAGCAACGCAGACTATTATTTTCTATTGATATGTATAAGTAGGCACAAATGCCACAACTTTTACTTCACAACTTATAAAATATGAACGTTAATGAGAAAAGTTTTATTTAATTAAACAAATCGAAGTTCGCCGCATTTGCTTTGATATTAAGTACAATTATTTCAACAAGGTATTCACTCTAAAGCTGGTAAAGCCATCTTTTTGTAGTGAAAATTCAACTCAAAGAAATTGCTTTCCATTAGCTATGCAAATTGGAGAACACATTGTTCAAGAGTGTTGCTGGCAGGATAAGCGTAAACTTATGCTTACAATAACAAAAAAAAAACTTTACTTTGATTATTGCAATTAATAATAGCGAAATTTCGCATTTACGCTTACAATTAGTCAGTTTTTGAACAAAATGGCATTAAATGTGTATTCAAGTAAGTGAAATTGGTATGCAAATGTTTTTGAGTAGAAAAGTTTTATGATTTATAATAACTTTTTTAAACCGTCACCACTGAATTTGTGCATTACTTGAGCGTATTGCGATCCATTTCTGCAAAATACCTGTCTACAGAGTTGACTGTTTTACCTTTTTGCAGCTAATCAATCAACAAAATTCCTTCTGCATTCCAAATAGCTGTTGCCATAACCTTCGCTGTTGATCGTTATAGTTGCACTTGCTTTGGTGCTGAACAACACGCTTCAGTTCACTGCAAACGTTCTTGTTTCAATTTAGGATAATGTTGGTAGATCCAAGGCTCATCCATAATTATCAAATAAATCGGTTTTATTCTGTTTAAACCCTCCAAATTATGCTGAGACATTTTTTTCGATCCATTTTTAGTTGAATTGTTAAGGTGTGCGGCACTAACTTTCCAAAAAGGCTTTTTCATATGCAATTTTCCATGTAAAATATGAAGTACTAGTTCATCTGAATTGTCTTTGGCTTTAACAATTTACGCTTAGTGTAACTTGGATCTTCATTAACAATAATATGAATTTGCTCAATGATTTCTGGTGTGGTTGCGGTTTTTGGTCGTTCTTCACGTGGATTGTCTTCAAGCCTAGTACGACCACGTTTCAATTCTCCAGCCCAAAATTCAATGGTGCGTTTTAAAAGTGAGGACTCCTTATAAACTTCTTATAATTATACATAAATTTTCTCTGCTTTTAGACCTCTCAAAACAAAGATTCTAATCACTGCGCGATAATAAATTTTTTCAATATTAAAAAAATACTCTGACACGTCAACTTCAAATGGCTTGTAAACAAAGAATAAATTGACAGAATGACTTGTTGTCTTGCATTTGTTCTTATGACAGATATAGCAACTGAAAAAAAGGGTTGCAGATAGTAGTGCTATTTCTTGGTGAGCTCAACCAACCAGTATACTGCTTTAAATTTTTTCTATCTGTGTCACTATGGATATATAGAAAAGTCACTCATACGCCATGTGGATGCATCATGGCGTTAGTGTTTTTCTATCAATATCATTTTGAGTATATGTGGAAGAAAATTTAGAACATAAATTTTTATTTCATATAATACATTTTCAATTAAGACTTTTTGAAAGTAAGCTAATATAGCAGCAGATAAATATATACAATGTTTTTTCCCTCAATTTCAATATTATCTCAAATTTAATATTAAAATATTTAATATCACCATAATGACCTTGAGGAGTTGCTGTAATTTTCCGTTGTCACCTAGTATTTAAGGACAGCCTGCAATCATTTGAGAAGTGCTATACAACTCGAAGAGAAATCCTCTGATAATCTTATCATTATATAATAAAATGCTGTAGTAGTTTTACTTTATCATTAAGCTAAATACAATTGCTATATAAGGGTTGGAAATTGCTTACTGTATGCACTTGAATTTCGTCAATCATTTTTGAAAAGCAGTGGAAGCATCAAAACCCTTGACAGCCGTAGAATGGTTGGGCGTTGCGGCCGAAAATTAATTATGTAAATTTAAATGCTTCTCTAAATCGATTTTTGAATTTCGAAACCATGTTTTTACATGAGCAAATGTTTTCAAAAAGGAGCTTTTTATTCTTATTCCCCTCTAAACAGACTAGCTTTTGCTGACAGTGAAGTTTATTTAAACCTCCTATTACATTTTCTTAAATATCATAGTTGATGCCTGATAATGCTCTCTTCAAGAAAATATTTAAAGAAAAAAGCATATTGTTTCATTAGTTTTTAAATTTTAAATTATAAATCTCACCATAAATTTATTTTTTCTATAACAGCTAAAAGTATTACACTATAACAAGGAATAACCTTAACTTTTCACACCGAAACACTGTCTTTAAGACTAAACTTTATAATTATGTAAGTTATTAAAATTTACAATATTTACAATTGACAAAGATTAAAAATTGCCAGCTTTATGCTTGAAATCATTTCATTTTAAAAGCCATCCGTAGTAATACAAAATATATACTTAACAGATAAGATTGAAAGCATGCTGTCTAAAAAGTTAATAACATTGAGGTAGACAATCGGCCACGCAGCAATGAAAGCTCCCTGCATCGCAGTCCGTTTATAGTTTTTCCGGCGCATAAAATTGACTCCACACTTTGATCTGGTCCATGCCAGGCAATTCCACTAATTCTATTTTCTCACTAATGTTCAAGCATTTAATGTCGCCCACGTCGTGTGTGACCGGTTCGAATATCAGATCTTCCAACATATCACAATTCGGGTCACTATTCGCCGCGAAACTGGTCCATATATCAACCATGGTGCGCGTAATTTCATACTCTTTGGAATCCTTCGTCGGCTTATGCGAAAATAAAGCATAAAAGAGATAGCAGAGATCATCTCCATGGCAAGTGCCTTGAACATCGCGACCGCAGAGAATATTACGTATGGCATTACCATCGCGCGAGTCATAATCGAAGCGATACACATATGTCGGTGCGGTGCTGTAACGTTGACGAGCGAGCACAGTACGATATATGGGTACCCAGAATTCACGATAGGAATTCAGCTGTTTGGTAAAGAGTTACAAGAACAATATAAACAATTGTAAAGTGAGTGAGTAAGAATAAAATAATATAAACCGTTTTCACCTCCAAAAACTTCATCATTGTGGCACGCGAACACTCCTCATCGCCGAAATAAGTGCGTTTTAGTTGTAGACCACAAGCTTCGGCCTTTTCCGAATCACGTTCGAAACCGGCATCGGTTGGCACGAGGTTTTTACAGTTCTTCACTTCATCCAATGTTGCGGGACGGCGTGTTATTTCTGCATAAAAGAAAAAGCTTTACTTTCATCACTTAATTCACAACATTTTTTACGCACCTGGATAAAAAATTAAACCCTCAAAACTAGTGCCACCAATAAGGATCGGTATATCATTGCTCCACGTTTTTTTCAATAACTCATAGGGGTGTTCACTCAATACACATTGTTCCGTCCAATATGGTTCCACAGTTGGGACAAAAGCAAAAAGTGTTCGATTGTGTTTTTCTTCTTTTGTTAGCACCATACCATTGCCACGCACAAGATCAGTTCCTTTTGTATTCAACAGGTAGTCGTATACATCTGCATCCATATCTTCACCCTGGTAGCCTAAGGCCTTGGCTAGTCGATATGCCCATCGTTTGTTTGGTACATTCGCCCAAGAGCAAAGTGCGCTACCGGACATAACAATACCTTTGTTTACCAATCCTTTAGACTGCTCGCTAAGCAGACAAATATGTGTGGACGCACCACCAGCGCTTTCACCAAAAACAGTAATGTTGTTGGTATCACCACCGAAAGCTGCGATATTTTCTTTTACCCAACGTAGTGCCATTATTTGATCTTTAATGCCAGCATTGCCGGGTACTTTCAAATTGGGATCGTCCAAACATAGAAACCCAAATGGTCCAAGTCGGTAGGCAATTGTCACCAGCACAATATCCTTTTGCATGAAAAAGTCTGGGCTATACATGTCACGGGTAGCCTCACCTATTTGAAAGCCACCCCCATATATCCAAACCATAACCGGTTTAGGTTTCTCCGGCTTGATCTGGAAAAAGTCAATAAGAAGTAGTATAATTCACATATTATCAAAATGAGAAAAATATTTGGAAAATTAAAGTTTTTCGAAATTAAGGCAGAACTTTAAACAGACAAAGAAGGCACTGTCTGTATAATATGCAACTAGTTCCTCAGTTTTTAAGCTACAATTTGAAATTTTGCGCCTACCCTTCCTCATAAGAAGCTACTCACTTGTCGAAGGACCGATATTTAAATAAACTGACGATCGAATTAAATGCTGCATGGAAAACTTTTGCATTTACGAGATACATTCACGAAATTGCATAGGTTATTTATTGCCTAAGCCTTCGAAGAAATTGTTCAGATCGGATCACTGGCATATTGCTACAACTGGATGATCGGAATCAAGTTCTTATAAGAAACCAATTATATTGTGAAAGTTATATAGCTTCGTGCAACCGAAGTACTTTTTGTTGTGATTATGTTATGACTTTTAAGTGATTTGATTGAGTGCACTATGCTGGCTAGACATTTTACATCTTGAAAGTTGACATAGCTTCGAAAAGAAGAGTAAACGTTTCCTTAGTTTTATCACTGTACTTTTATATTAGTCATAATACTATGGATGGTATGAAAATTTTTAGAGTAAGTAGCTGCAACTGAAATAAACGAAATACTTACACTCTTAGTAAACACATTCAATACAAACAATCTCCGAACCTTTATATTACGAAATATAACATTTGTCTGTAGGGCTTCTCGGCGGGACCAGTACCATCTACAGCCCTGCCAAGACTCAGCCGGTACGGAGCGCGAAAACGCAGTTCATCCAATGGTGTTTCGCATAAGGTATGCGTTCAAAGCTGAAATACAAATCACCCCAAATAGTGAGACGCTTCACCTTTCACTTCGCCTTTGGTGGTCTTGGCTACCTCATAAATTTTAGTAGTGTGTTTACTTTGTTCATATTTAAACTCGAAGCCTGAAACGAAAATGAATTGTATTTTGTGAATATTAAGCAAACGGCAAACGTTGCCGGATTATTTATTGCGATTTTAGCAAATTACAAGTTGTTTATTATGTAAACGATGCCAATGCGGACACGTAAGTATATTATGTTATGTATGTATGTTGAAAACTGCGGGTGCACAAAATAAATCTTCACGCATGGCATGCTAATCGGGTGCGTTCATAATGCAACGCTAAATACACTTAGTGAGCGTTTAGCATTTTATTTTTATTTTTGCTTAATGTAATACAGTTACTAATTATTGTTTCTGTTAGCGATCGCATATTTTGCCGGCATACCAGGTAGCTAATAACTTGTTATGCCAGCGGCTTTAAGCGCAAACTTGAACAATTACGAATAGCGGTTTCCTATATAATCGAAAGTAAAGTAAACACTGTAAAAATAACAAAAGAGACGAACACAAAAATAATATAGAGATAAGCAAACAGCGGCAACAACACGTCAGCGTAACAACTTAGTTTGAAGTGTGAATCGAAACAAACACTTCACCCTTCGTCATGCTGTCGTCGCAAATCAATTGAATCTTATTGCCTTTGTATTTATGTAGTTTTCGTTTTTATTCACCTTCGGAATGTATTTAACGATTTTCATTGCAAAATGCATATGTCAATAAAAATGTCCAGTTATATGCATTTGTCTGTAACTGCGTCGTTATTTTGTGGAATTTACTGACCAGCAAATATTAATATATTGTTTTTAAGCGACCCAATTACTAAATTTTAAACAGCCTGTAGAGGTATTGCTATATTCTTAATTTGCTTTAACTCCTTCAGCTCTTACCACAATTTCTGTGTTGAGTTGAAGTGCTTTGAAAGCGACCGTTCTTTTCCGCTAATAATATGGTATTGACACAGTAACATTACACACATTAATCAAATTAATCGTATAAAAGTTGAACAACGAATGAATTTCGCCTGAAAATTGTGATTTCTAAGAGTATGGTAAATTGGTCAGAGTTTCAGATTGGTGTGTTTCTGTTCATTTTGAAATCACAGCATGCAAGTACGATATACAATTTTGGGATTGAAAATAAACGATATGATTTTAGATCCTTAGTAACTCAGCAAATTTTGCATCATGTCCCACAATTTATATCACAGTTGTTGTTATTGTTGTAGTTAAGTCGGTATTAACGATTGCACAATATCTTTGACAGCTGTATTTGACGCTGTCAGAATTTTTATCGTGCCGTAATGTCTTGGTTCCATAATAACCACATATCAATCAAGGATGGTGTAAACTATCAAAAAGTAATGAAAGCTGCTCATTTGTCGGACCACCAATATCTGACCAATATAGCATATGGCTGCCATAAAACTGAACGATCAAAATCAAATTCTGTTGAAAACTTTTATTTGACGAAATAACTTCACGAATTTCGCATGAATTATTTCTAATACCACCTACAACATTTGGAAAAATTTTCAGATCGGACCACTATAGCATATAGCTGCCATATACACTGAACGATCAAAATCAAATTTTTGTAAAGAAACTTTTTATTTGTGAAGCGTATTCTAGCTTCGATACAACCGAAGTTACCGTTTTCTCTTTTTTTCTTTTAATTAAATTCAATATATTAAGTTAAAGTCCAAATAGAACAGTCTTCTTATAATGTATGCTCACCGCTAGCTCTATAAATGTATTTAGTGCTTCAAAGTTACAGCATCGCATGAGAATTCCAAATTATTTGTCAGCAATTTAAATGTTAATCAAATAGTGCGATTGTAAAAGTTCATACAAATTTCTCGCATCGCAGATAATATTATATACAACATAATACTGACGGTTTAATCACTACTTGTTAGATAAGGTGATAATTATAGTATTATATATAATAAAGTATGCATAGAATTGAAATTAAATTTGATGGAGAGATAACCAACGGATTCACAAGACGGACTTTATATGTTGTTCTCACTTTGAACTTGACTTCAACAAATCAAGTTTGACAATTATTCTAATCATAACACCTGGCTTGTAACGTTCTCCTGAGCACACGCTCAATACTTAACTTTGAAGCGTAATAAATAATAAACGCAATAAAGGAATATTAAAGTTTATTAAAAATAATATAGCGCTAATTATGACACCAAGTAGCAGGTAAATAATATTGAAATTAATATACACTGTTTAAACTAGTTTGTTGAGTTCTTTGTAAGCATTTCTTTCAAAGTATAACGAATCTGTCGTAGTTCCTTCGACAGAATGCAATAATGTTCTCTAAGTTATTTTTTTTCTCTGAAATGATTTATTGACTCCATTAAGAGCTTGAATAGCAAGTTAGTTATAATGTTCAAAGTTACCTGATACAAAATATTACTAAAAATTATTTTACTTGACTCGTTCTGTTACTTTTAATTTTCTCAAAGTGACGTACTTCCTATCTCACTAAACTTAAGCTATAAATACTAGCTTAACAAAAAACTTACAATATATAACACTTTACTGGCAGTCAACAATTAAATTTAGTGACTATATGACTGGTAATTGAAATCTTACAAAAAAGAGTTATGTTGATTCATATATAATTAAATATGAACTTTTTGTTATTAAAATGCACTTAGTTATTTTCTACGACACAGCCGTAAATTTAAATTAGAATGCCAAGTGGTAAGAAATAATTATTAAACGGTTTCGGTCAAAGAATATTGAAGAAAATTTTAAAGAACTCGAAAATATTAGATGAATGAAAAAGATTATTTATACTTGTATATATATTTTAAACAAAATTTTATTGGAATTATTCTTTATGCTATTGTTTTTTTTAATGGATTGAGAGCGGGACCACGAGTAGATCTCAGAACGATCAAACTCCGAAATACTTGTGTATCTTCCAGGCGAAAGTCTTGCGGTCAGAAAAGTTCTGATAGCTAACCAGCAGGAAATAATATAACGCAGATTATATATACGCTCTGGCTGCGCATTGAGCAATAATCTCACATCGCATTACGACAGAGATGTTTTAATCAGGAGGCAGTAAATGAAGTGCCTGCCGTAAAGCGGAGAGATCGCTAAAGTGCCAGCCATCTTATGCCGACCAGTACAAGAAATACGGAATTCACTAAAAACATATAAATTCCAAGGGTTCAGTTTTGTACTCACATGGTCTCGAAACAACTGTACGAAGGTTTTTGGCCTAATGACAGGTCACGACAAGTTACGATGAATATGCAGATAGTGCAGGTAAGCATGATAGGACACTTCCTTTGCCATATCTGCATTATTGTAACCAGTTTTATCTAGAAACTCGTTTAGATATCTAAGTCGCAGTTCAAAGTACCTGATGAAGTGTCAAAATTAGATATCAAGTGGCTTTAAAGTTCGCAAGCCTTGAGTCATGCAAGACGAATAGTACAAGTCATATTAAACTGAATCTCTTTTTGGCATTACTAGGATCAGCAGGTCTATGTATGACAGCCGGCCAGTATAATCTTACCTAACTTAAACTTCATTTTAAGCCATCAAAGTCTGAACTTGAAAATGGTTCTTGGCCCAACTGGTGATAAATTGAAAAGTCTATTGTAAGCAAAAGTGACAAACGGATAGACACTTTCTGTTTAATGAGATATGAGCTAGCTTTAGGCAACCAAGAGCTTCAGCAGAGATGTACATACTAGTATACATAATTGACATAGAATATTAAGCATTATACCAGTTTATTTTATAAATACTTATAGTATATTAAAATTAATTCAACTGGAAAACATTGCTGTAAATTTTACAAGATACTAAGCAACTCAAACTTAGCGAGTCTGAAAGTGTTGAATTGAAAATGTTTTTTTCTGGTTTCCTGCTTAAGCATTCTAATTGAACTGTTATATGATTTATGGCTTAAATAACTACAAACTGTGCTGTAATATTTAACTACAAAATAACTTTAGCAATAATTAATTACCCAATACAAATGCGTTTGCCAGATATACGCAGGTATATAATTTAGGAAAAAATAGCAATATATGCCACTTGATAATAATTCATATAATATATTATAAATGTATATTATATACTTAATTACTACAATCAAATTCAATTATACACAACACCAGCCCAACAAGTATAAAAATCTCATACATTAAATTATATAATGTAAATCTAAGTTTACAGTTAATAAGTTATTTGTTCGCCGTAAGTATGCCAGTGGTATTGTAGTAATTACAGCAAATGTAGCTTTATAAAACTTGTACCACATGGGGTAATATATCTCACATAGGTAACATTGTATATAAAACAATGAAATTTATTGCAGCGCTGCGTCAAACATTTCTTTTCGCTGTAAATTTGTATAGCATACTTAAGTGGTTACAAATATTTATACTACTCACACGAAACATGTCGACTTGTACAATAATTACGCGTTGGCGTCTGTGCATGACAAAACGTGAGTTCGCAAAAGTGGGCAAAAGTGTGAATCATTGAATTTAAAGCAAGTTGCTTTGAGTTGTGTACGCGATTGTCGCTCTGAATAACTGTTGATTGCCATAGTCGTGTGCGCTGAGTATTGGCTATCGTTTTAGAGTAGAGGGCTTAACCTTTGTCTGGGAAAACCGTCATACAACCGAGTAAATTACGACATGCAAAGACAGCTCAGAAAACTAGGAGCTATCTCAATTTTATGAATAATTTTAAGTCGTATATAACCCAAAAGCTAGGGTGAAGTGTTACTAAATAA